CTATGAGTCGGGGCCGACCCGACGGCACATAACAACAACAACAACAATTTTTGAAAGTAGATCATCATGCCTTTCTTCCTAGTCCAGACGCTCCACTGGAACCTGTCCACCTTGATTGAGCCTGATGGTAGCATAGCTCCCAGCATCACATCAACACAAAAGCCATCACAAGAGAACACCATGAGAGGCAGGTGGTGGGACATGGCCACAGGTGCTGGGTGCATCGTGCCCCTTCAACCCTCTGATGAAAGTCAGGCCTGTGTTCTCCTGAGCTCATCTTCTGGAGCCCCACAGAGGCCCTGTGGGTGAACCATGTCCCTATCCCAGGCCTCACTTCCAGTTGTCGCTGAGGGGCTTGAAGACCAGAGACTACTAGAAAAGGGAGCAGCGAATGGCCACACACCAAAGCTCTGGAACCCAACAGTGAGCCAACTGGACCAATCAGAGACATTAATAATAACATCAACTTCACACTTAGGAAGGAGGCTTCTGCCATCCCACTTGACTGATGAGAACTATGGCTCAGAGAGGCTAAGGAACTTCAGTGGTACTCAGCTAATAAGGGGCAGAGCTAGGATTCAATCAGGCAGTCTGACTCCAACACCACGGCTCCCCATCACCACAGGCTCCACCATTTAGACACCATGTGTCCGTCGCTCTAGAGCAGAGTGCCCTCTGAAGTGAGCCAGGTTCTTCTAAAGAATTCCCACGACACCTTCAGAGGCATTGTATCGCTGTCTCCATTCTGCAGCCAGGGAAGCAGAGGCCAAGGGAGGGGGAGCAGCTTTCAAAGTCTGCACTGTGATTAAGTCTGAGCCTGGCTCTGCTCGAGAGGAAGCCCTCCCAGGCTTTCAGCTGGCGTCTGGCTGCCTGGGAACCGTCCCCGGTGCTCGTTGGTGTTTGTGTTCACTAGGGAAACATCTGTTACGTCCCTGTGCGTCTGTGCCGTGGGTCGGAGATGGGTCCACCCCTGACTCCCAGCAGCTCACAGTTCAGAGGGCAGATGGCCTCTGTCTGAGCATCCTCGGGCTCCATAACATGCCATGCCATGACATGCCGTAGCATGCCCCACATGCCATGCCATGTGTGGTAGTTATATTTGTGTGTCAACTTGGCTGGGCCTGGTTGAATGGCTGGGCAGCTGGTGGTAGTTATTCCCCATGATGAGACTGGCAATCAACTCCATGGTGGGATCTACCACAAGCAGCTGAATAGCTGCTTTAAGGATGTGATCTGCTTCCAGTATATAAGAAGCAGCTTTGGGAATGGGCCAGGAGCAGGAGGCAGAGCTGGACTCCAAGGATGAAGGGCTTTCACCCAGCCCCTAGAGCCTGGCACTTTGAACTTGGACTTAAAGCCTCCTAATTGTAAGAATAAACTCCTGTTTGTGAAGGCAATCCCATTTGTGGTATATTCTTGTCAGAGCGGCACTAGGTAACAAGAACAGAATTTGGTACCGAGAGAGTGGGGTGCTGTTCTGACAGATACCTAAACTGTGGAAACAGGAGTGGAGTGTGTCCTTGACCCGAGACCCCAGCATACGGCCTGACAGATGGCAGGTACATACAGCAAGAGACCAGCATGAGAGACGGCAGAAGCAGAGCCCAGAGACCGGCATGAGACAGCGACAGCCTTACCAGCCCACGGAGGAGAAAGCTGGATGCCTTTGGTTCGGCAGCTTCCTGGCGGAGTGGGCTGCCTTCAGGCATTAATTGCTGAAGAGACTGGCATGAAATGGAGTAGCAGGTTGGCTGGCCCACAGAGCAAGAAAGCTAAATGTCCTTTGGGGCAGGAAGATTTCTGGCGGAGTGGAATGCCCCCGGGCATTCATCGCCAGAAGCAGAGACCAAGGAAACGGAAGCAGAGCTGCCTCAGCCTGAAAGGGTAGGACCATGGCCTTTGGGGGTGGAATGACCACAGCCCCCTAGGTTTCAAAGAGCCAGGCCTTCACCACCTTGGTTCTGGAGTGTGGGGCTGCTCGTTCATGTGAGCCAGTGGGATGGAGCCATAGTCGCTGCCCAAGAGTGAGGGGGCGGGGCTGCCATGCCCAAGAGGGAGAGAAACGGGGCCTGCCAGGCCAAGGGGTAAGGTCACCACTTAGGAACTAGGGGACTGGAGTCACCCAGTGGAAGAGACTTGTACAGATACCACCCACTGAAGATCTATACAGGTGCCAAGTTGACAAGAGGTGTAATTGTGGTAGTTATATTTGTGTGTCAACTTAGCTGGCCCTGGTTGAGTGGCTGGGCAGCTGGTGGTAGTTATTCCCCATGATGAGAATGGCAATTAGCTCCATGGTGGGACCTACCACAAGCAGCTGAGTAGCTACTTTAGGGATGTGGTCTGCTTCCTGTATTTAAGGAGAAGCCTTCGGGATGGTCTGTAGCCTATGGCGCGCTTGGACTCTGCATGTACCCTTGTTGCTCAGCAGCCTGCCGTGCTTGACCGACCTTGGGACTTACAATGGACTTGAGTTAATGGCCTGCCGTGTGGTTTGGTAACATCGGGACTGTCAGCCTGGGGCTTCTCAGCCTCAGCAGCCAGCAGCTGTCTGAGTGAAGAAACGCCTCTAGCTCCAGTGGGCCAGGAGCAGGAGACAGAGCTGGACCCCAAGGTTGAAGGGCTTTCCCCCAGCCCCTAGAGCCTGGCACTTTGAACTTGGACTTAAAGCCTCCAAATTTAAGAATAAACTGGTGTCTGTTAAGGCAATCCCATTTGTGGTATATTCTTGTCAGAGTGATGCTAGGTAACCAGAACATCATGCCATAGCATACCGTGACATGCCATAACATGCCACAGCACACCATAACATGCATAACATGCCATGCATGACATGTTGGGGAGGCCCCACAGCAAGGAATAGGGTGGGTGGCTTCAAACAACAGAAATGTGCTCTCTCCAGTTCTGGGGCCACAAGTCCAAAATCAGGTGTCTGCAGGGCCATGCTCCCTCCAAAAGCTCAGGGGAGCTCCGTCCTTGCCTCTCCAGCTTCTGGTGGCCCTGGCGTTCCTTGGCTCGTGGCCACATCAGTCCCATCTTGGCCTCTGTCATTATTGCATGGCCGTCTTCCCTCTGTGTCTCTGTGTCCCTTCTCTTCTTATAAGGACACCACTCACATAGGATCAGGAACCCCCTGCTTCAGTGAGACCTTATGTTAACTGAGAACATCTTCAAAGGCCCCATTTGCAAATAAGGTCACATTCACAGGTACTGGGGTCAGGACTTGAACGTATCTGTTCCAGGGATACAATTTAGCCCGTAACAGACTTGTGAAGGGGCCATGCCCAGGGCTGTGGCCGTAGTGTGCACCAGCTGGCCCCTCAGCCCGCCATGAGCCTCACTGCCCCCCTCAGAGTTAACCAGGGGAAGCAGAAGGAGCAGGAGGGGAGGGGCAGAGGGTGCAGCAGACCGACTCTCAGGCAGCCCCCAGGCCCCGCCTCCTGGTGCTCACCCCAGGGAAGGGACCCGTGACTTGCTTCCAACTGAGAGGATCTGGCCAATGGGGCAGGTGGCCCCGTGGTTACGTCACATAGACTGTAAAGTCTGCCTTGTTGGCATTGCTGAAGCAAATGGCCATGCTGGGGATGCCACGGCCAGGAACGGAGGAGGGCCTCTGGCTGACAGCCAGCTCGACACTGAGACCCTCAGTCCTGCACGGCAAGGGCCCAAATCCTGCCAACACCCAGGTGTGCTTGGAGGCGGGTCTTTCCCCAGCCGGCCCCTCCTGACTGCGGAGGGTCCAGGTGTGCCGTGCCCCACAGAAACCCTGCTTCACAATGAGCCAGGGCTCTGGCAGGAGCAGGGCCCAGGGCAGGCCCAGCTCTCCTCCAGCAGGTCGTGTGCAGCACTTCCTACACCCACTGGGGCCGTGCAGTGTGCTCCACCCGCGCTCAGGCCCCTTCCTGGGGAAGACCTGGGAGCCGGGTGGCTGTGGAGGCCAGGGCACTGGCAGAGCCAGGACTAAGGCTGTGCAGTGTTTCCATGCATGCCTGAGGGCCCAGAGCCACTCCCTCGGGGACACCTAGGAGCCAGGCGGCGAGTGAGGAGGCCAGGGCTTGGCCTCTAAGTCTGCCTGGTGGCTGCTGTTGGGAGTGTGTGTGTGGGGGGTGTCTGGGATGGCTGGGTCCTCTAGGCTCTGGGCTCCATCTGTTCGTCCGGGTCACCTGCTTGGGA